TTAGTATTTTTATTTTAATTTATGTGATATATGTAGAATTTAGAAAGTTGATTAAATTTCAATATGATTTTTAGATATTTAAGTTGTTAATTACTTTTTGTTGCGTAAATTTATTGTGAAGAGATCCATTAAGATGTCCATATTCAATGCATTTTTCGTCATCAATCGTTAATTTTTTACTCAAAGTAATTACAAGATATAAACAAATATCCCGACATTCAAAATAATAAAGCAATAACAAAAGAATATGAATTTAAAACTAAAAGTCACAGCTAAAACGGATTCTATAATTTCAAAAAAATTATGCATTGATTAATTTAATGCGGAACAAAAGAAGTAATTTTAAAAAAAAAAAAAAATTCCAAAACACGCTGAAGCAGGCACGTTTCTGTCGACGTGCCTACTTCAGCGTGAAGTCTTGAATTTAAAACCAAAAGTCATAGCTAAAATGGATTCCATAATTTTTAAAAAATTATACACGCTGAAGCAGGCACGTCTCCGTCGACGTACCTGCTTCAGCACAAAATATTATACACTAATTAAAGCAGGGATGACGTGCCTGCTTCAGCACAAACTGTCAAAGTAGAACAAAATGAATAAATTTTTAAATATTTTTTCCAAAACACGCTGAAGCAGGCATGTCGACGTGTCTGCTTCAGCACAAACTGTACTTGTCAAAGTAGAACAAAAAAGGAATAATTTTTTAAATATTTTCTCCGAAACATGCTTAAGTAGGTACGTCAATGAAGACTTGTCCGCTCCAGCAAAAACTGTCTCTTATATAATACTAGATAAGTGGTTCCTATGAAATGCACGAGCCTATAAATTATGAGTACTTCATAAGATTGATAAAAAGAAATTCAATATGAAAATACTAAAAGAGGAAGCATAAATCTCATGTTTACAACATATTAACACTTCACAATACTTGGATTGAGGAACAAAGTTTACAGAAATATTCAAACAATTATGAAATGTCCTTCAAATGAAGAGTTATTTGTAATAATTCTAACAAACAAATTCCAACTTTCAAACCTCTAGAGATGATGATATTTTTCCTTAAGCTCTGAGAGATCCATCTTTCATTCAACATGGTTGCGTACGTATAAATAAGACACTTCCGAACCTCCAAAAAAATTTTCCACAAGCTCTAAAAGATGTATCTTTCATCCAACATGTCTGGAAATTTTCACAAGCTCACACTTATTATAAAAGAAGAGAAATATAAATATAAGTAGAACAAACATGGAGAAAATGCTTTCATAATAATCATTTAATACCTATATAGTAACCGAATCCTAGTAGCTACCCGATATAATTATATTACCACCTGAGAGCATACACAATTGAGAACTCGAGATCCTTCACCTTTTCTATTTCTCCTTCAGCTCTAAGAAAAGCAGAACGACAACAAATTCTAAATGATAAGTGGAAGTCCTAAGTAAGTTACTTATTTCCAAAAAAATAGTAAAAGACCAAAATTAGTTTTTTGATAATAAGCGTAATACAAAATGCTTCTATAATAACCATTAAAGCAGACGAAGCACTTTAGCAGAATAGACAAAGATATAGTAAGTCCAGAAGAGGAAGAAGACACAGTAGAAAAGGTTGCAGGAACTTTTAAAGGAACAATCCACAACTTCATCCATAAACAAAACTCGATTTAATTTTCCATGTGCACCAAAACCGCGGGATGATATTTCAATTAAAGTAGGCTCCAATTCTTTACCTGAAAAAGTGGTGAGGTTCAGTAGTAAACTTAAATTCATGATTTCCTCACAATCTCTGTACAAATAAATAAAGGCGAGATTACAATAATAACTATGTGTTATTCCTAAATAAGTTATAATTGAGCAAAAAATATACCTTGTGTGAGGAGAAATCTTCCTAGTGAATTAATTGTAGAAGTAGAGGAAATAGTCAAAAAGTGCTAGCTACTCGGAAGAAAGATAAACGGAAAATAAAGGCACTTTCAGTTAACGACATATCACAATAGATTTTACATCGTTTGATATTCTTTTCATAAGCCTCTTTCATTGTGCGGGAATGTTCTTGTTTGTTCAGGATTCATTGTCTACAGAAAGTTGGTAGGTATATAAAAGAGTTAGAACTCCAATCAGTTCAACAGCTCAATGATGCAACAATTTGGAAGAGTCACTGAGACAATCACTTGTTACAATATTTGTAAATTGCACAATCAAGATATTTTAAGAATGAGCATCATGGAAAATAAATACAACGGAGAGCAACTACACTAAGCTATGAACAAATATTTATATGTGATCTTCTAATTTCAGAAAGTGGAAGAAGAACTTTATACTTGACAAATTTTTGAGAGAAGTTATCTCAGACAATTATTTTATTCCGTGTTCAACTCTGTCTGAATTCCTATTTAAATTCATCTGTTTTGTAATGGACGTAAGGTTTGGGTACACTAAATTTACCCTCTGCAAATCCCACCTATGTGTATTGTTATTGTTATAGTTATAGTGAGCAGAATTATATTCAATTTATTTATGAGGGTAATTTGATAGAATAAAAATAAATATCCCCCTTTATTAAAATTAAGCTAAGGGAAATAGATTGGAAATAAGAACAACAACCAATAACAAATAAATAAAAATCAAATGACAATTGAATGATATTGTTTATGTATTTGCCCTTTAACTAAAATCAACAAATTAGCTTCGTCTTATTGAGGCATTAAGGCTATAATTAGCATTTTCTTGTATGGATTTCAAAGAGAAGAAGCAATAAAAATAGTTACATATCTGACTGTGGGAATAGGATTCAAAATAAAACAAGGAAGAGAAAAAGCATTAACCTGAGCTTGTGAACATCTATTAGATCAGAAATGATGGACTAAGCAACAAAGATGAAACAATTAGTGAACACCAAAAGGAAAATAAAAATAAAAATAAAAATAAAATATCAAGAAATCAGTAATGAAAACAGCAAAGCAAACAAAAACAAAAAATAAGACAGCTGGAATCACTTAAAGAATCATCCACAAGCCAAAATGACGGTACTACCCTCCGAATGTCCAACGAAACCACCACTTATTTAGAATGATGAGATGAATAATGATGATGACGACGATAATGATATTTTTTGTGAATAAGGAGTAATCGTTTTTCACTTAAGGAGGAGGAGGAGACAAAATTAAAGGTTTATTCAACTACCGGTTTGGTATTATGGTCCATTGCACGTGTCCACCTAACTTTTCTAGGTTCCTCAAAAATTTATTGCAATTTTGAGGAGTGAAAAATCAAATTACTATATACAATTTTAATTATGTTTCGCTTAATGAAAATTCTTTGATTTATTCGAGTCATATTTTGCATATAATTCCTCAGTTCCTCCGTACTTTTTTTTGTTTTACTTTAAAATAATATGTAACCTTAAAAATTAAAATTCTCATTTTATTATTTACCTAATATTTAAGTTTATTTTAGATTATAAATTATAATTTTTTTCTTTTTTGAACTTTATGCTGAAACTAGGCAAGAATTACAAGGGATTCACCTTTTCGTTGGAAAATTATATTTATCATACATACAAAATTTAAATTACTTTTTATGTAACTATTAAATCGCTTCGACTCTTTAGGTATCTTTTTTATATTTTAAATCTCATATTGAAAATTTTGACTCTAAAAAGAATATCATGTAAGTAGCAACGATTATAAAATTTCTTTTGAGTCTAGATGCATCTCTATTTTATTTTTTAAAATGTTTTGAATCCCTTAGGAGTAAGTTTGAAGCTGAATGAGTAATTAGTGTTAAAATCTGCATAAATAATGTCATATTTGGTAATTGGTTAAGAAATAAGCTATTTATGTATGAAATTAATATTGTGTTGTTTGGTTTTTGTAATTTAGAAATTCACATAACTAATACTACATATATAAATTATGAGGAAACCTATGTATTATTTTATGCAAGATAGAAGATAAAATAAAAAAAATACATAAATAAGTAAACCCTCCATAACTAATCCCTCCGTAAAATTACACATAGATTTCCTCATAACTAATTCATATATTACTAATAAGTGCATAACTCTAACCTATAACAAAACAACTCCTTACTATTTTATTTTGTAAAAAATAAGTGGGGCAATGGAAGGGAAAATGATAGTGAGGAATCGTTACTAATAAGATGAAAGTTCAAATATCCAATCAGGAATTGTTACTCCCTCTCGTCTCATTTTATGTGACACTCTGTTTTTAGTCCGTCCCAAAAAGAATGTTACCTTACTATAATAATAAGTAATTTAACTTTAAAAGTTTTCTTTACCGCACCAAGAATGTGACCTAATGGTTGAAAACCGCAAAGTTTCATGTTCAATTTTCAACAAAGATAAAAAATACTAGATAATTCTTCTTACCTATCATATTCACAAGGACTATTTAGATTAGATTAAACAGTACCACATACAATAAAACGAAAAAAAATGAAATTCTTTATACCTTAATAAAAATTCTGGCTCAGCGTTAAATAATAGTATCATTTGATTTGGTAGGGTAAAAAAGTTTGTTGGCTTGCTTAGCAACTAAATACAAAAAAAGCAGCACATCACACACTCATCAGAAAGTCAAAAGAGCAACAGCTAACATAGACAGTTAGTTGGCCTTAGACACACACACACACTAGACCTGACACTATTTTTATTAAAATTGTATAACACTATCTTTTTATAACTTTTTATTCAGTCCCTCCATGCTCTTATCACAATTTATTTTCACAAAAAAAAAAAAATAGTGGAAGAGACTAAACAAAATCTTCCCTTGTCTGTACATTAATTAGAAATCTCTTAATTTGTTTTTTTCTTTTCACCTATTTCTTATCTTTATGTAGTTCTTAAAAAAGGGACAATTTTTCATACTAAAACAAAACATAAATAGAAGTTTTCATTTCAAGGTTAAGTTGGTCTTTTTTTAAATTGATTGAATTGAAGCTTTTTGAAACATTCTTGATATTGTTTGGTTTTGCAATGCAGGTCCAGTAAATGGGATTCAATGGGAGCTCTGATGAATTCTTAGGGTTTTTCTCTACCTCCATCTGGTAAAGGTTTGTTCTTTTGGGGTCTTATCCTTTTCTTTGGTTCTAAACTCTGTGTGTGTGGTGGGATGAACACTATTCCTCCGTTCCACCATTAACCAGAGGTCGAAAATGGAAAAATCTTGGTAAGGAGCGCTTTCTGGATTAGTTGGGCCCAAAGTGGGACCGGGTGGAAGCAAAAAAAAAGAAGTTATGCTCTATCCGATTCAATTTGTTTGTCTGGTTTTGACTTGGTATATGAAGTTTTAAAAAATGAATAAAACTTTTAAATCTTGTGGTTTTAAAGTAAAATATATATAATGTACCAAATTGCCCGTTAATCTTATGGTCTTAAATATGTTGTATGAAAGTTACCATTAAGGAGTTCACAAAAAGGAAAGAAACGTTCTTTTTGAAATGGATTGAAAGGAAAGTAAGACAATGAAATTGAAACGAAGGGAGTATGATAGAGTAAGACAAAGAAATTGAAACGGAGGGGTATGATAGTTGCTTTTATGGTGGTTGATTTTGTTTACTATCTTTTAAATTGGAACTTTTGTGGAGCAAATTTATTAGTGAAAAGGACTTGAACTTGATTTGTTTATTAGTACTTTTGAGTAGTTTGAAGTTGCTATATCATTTATTGACTGATAGGACAAGGAGTAATCCAACATTACTCTTGTGAGTTAAGTATGGTAACACAATGTTTTTCTGTCAAAACTTCAACTTTTGAGATTATGAGTTCTTGATATATATCCGAAGCTGCTATAGTAATCTTCGTTAGAAAGTATTAACTGTAGTCATGCTGTTGAATCAGACAGTTACATTAGTACGTGACAGAGTCGGTAAGATTGGACAATTTCCATGATGTAAACCCAGTCAAGTGCAAACGAAATGACCGAGTAGATATCTTCCTCTACATTACTGGAAAACCTTAGAACTCGAAGGCTTAAGGACTTGAAAACATTCTGTCAATTGGTCTTATTGTTACTACAGTTTTATGATTATGTACTTTGTACTAGATATCTGTCGCGCATTTCTAGTCCTTATTTTTATTCAATTTTTTACTTGAAAGACAACAGATCAAGATGGAGGTCAATGAAACCGCGAAAATAGCTATAGTTAGACCAGTAGCTTCAAGGCCAAGATGTCCTATTTACAAATCTTTCTCTGAGCTCTTAGCTGGTGCGGTAGATATATCATCCACAAATGCTAGTTCTGAAATGGCGATTACCGCCATAAGACCAAAAACTGTCAGGCTGAAGCCTGTAACAAACCATGCTTTAGTTGGAGAGCGTTCTTCACAGGTCGATAATCTCTCTTTATAAGCTTCCATCATTAATGGCTTGAATGTTTTCTTTATTTCGTTTTATTTCAATTGTGCATCTTGAAGAAATACTCAAATTGTTTTGCTGAGCACTTTTTAATCATATAGAAAAACTTGTTACTTCAGGTTGGAGTGTCTGAGGCACCAGTTGGTTGTCGATCTGATTTCATCTTGCAATCGGTAGAGAAACCCAAGGTCCTGTATAAACCCATAGCTAAACTTGCACCAAGGAAAACAATTCCTCTCCTTGAAAATAAGGTTAGTTTCCTTTTATATGTTGCGATCTACGTTGCTCAGACTCTTTAAAAATGTCAATGGGTGCGTGGCGGATCCTCCAAAAGTAGTACATTTTTGTAGAATCTAGCTACATAGGTTGCGACTTGCGATGATGGGACGACCCTTTTTTGTTAGTGTACAATAGTGCATAAATTCAGGCGGGATGAAGTTTTCCTGCACTATTCAAATTGTTGTCTCACAATACGAGTAATGAATAGCCGAAGAAATGTACTACAATATTGTTCTGCAGCAATAATAAAATCTAGCACATCTTATGCATAGGGAAGCTCTGCATCTGATCAGCGACAAGAAAAAGCTGAGGCTAAGGCTGATGTTCAATCAGCAAAAGAAGTTAAACAACATCGCGACCTTACGACAGAATCTAAACGAAGTCTCTTAGCAAAATCAGGAGAGGACAAAAAAATAGTGGGTTCAACAATTGTATCAGAGAACACAGAAGAGGTTCCACAATCTTTGGTCAACACAAGTAATGTCGATCGTCCTAGTTATGATGGATATAATTGGAGAAAATATGGACAAAAGCAAGTTAAAGGAAGTGAATACCCGAGAAGTTACTATAAGTGCACGCATCTAAAGTGTCCTGTGAAAAAGAAGGTTGAAAGATCATACGATGGCCAGATTGCTGAAATTGTTTACAGGGGTGAGCACAACCACCCAAAGCCTCAGCCTCCAAAGCGCAACTTGTCAGACGTACATGTGCGAGCAGGCGTATGCAATGACACTTTTAAAGAAACAAATAATCCTGCATGGAGTAACCAACATCCTCAGACGAGTGAAGCTTACGTCTGTAGGATAGAAAATCCGAATGATGTCGGGTTGACTATAAATTCAGCTCATTCTAGCAAAGCACCATGCTTTTATGATCCCATTGCAGCTGCAGGAATGCACACTGCTGTCAGAAATTCTGAAGATTCTGCTGAAGGAAGTAGAAAGTTGGAAACTACTTGTGATGAACCAAAAACTAAAAGAAGGTTAGAAGCAAAGTAAATTCAATTATTATCAGCTATCTGAAATTAGTATATCTACGGAACCGTTGCTAGCACACTACATTTCACTCATTCTTGTTGCTAAGTCGTTCGTGTATTTGTTCATCATACACTTCTGTTTTTCAAAGAACTTAAGGTGAGATTTTTCCTATGTGTATTTCAGTATTGATTCGACTTGGTATTCGAAAATACCACTGTGAGCTTTCATGTTATCACTTTCTAATTAGTGACAACTATGGGGTTTTACCTTCCAGGAAACTTAAAGGCCAATGCAAGGGAGCAGGTACATCAGGGGAAAGTACATTTCCTTATATACCAAACCAAAGTACTACTGACTCTGAAATTACCGATGATGGTTTTCGCTGGAGAAAATATGGCCAGAAGGTTGTCAAGGGAAGTTCATATCCCAGGTAAAATTCTTTTCTCATCCTTATGCACAAACTTTAGAAGACAAAATCCACAGGAAATACCATACAGGGTGGAATGGAACTACAATAACTTGAGGAATCTTAGTATCTTAGCTGGTTGGTCACCTGAACTCCCACCTTGTTGGTGAGGATTCGATTCCCCCACATTGTAATCCCCTCCCCTATTAAAAAAAAACTATAATAACTCACAAAACCTTCATATGATGAAGGTTATGCATTGATTTTGTAGCTTTTCGAATGCCAAACATCATTGTTTTAGATATGACATCCCTCACGAAGCATGGATGACTGGATACTCATACTGTGTAGAGAACAAGTTAAACAGATACTTTTGAAAATATGAGAATTTACTAGAATGTCTCTCGACCCTCGTTTATGTTTATGTAGATAATGCTTGCTTGTAAAAAATGCTTTGTCCTATTACCCTCTTGACATATTTTCCTATTAATCATGTCTTGATTGCTGCTATACACAGGAGCTATTATAGATGCACAAGTCCTAAATGCAGCGTGCGGAAGTTTGTTGAAAGAACCATGGATGATCCAAAAGCCTTTATTACTACATATGAGGGAAAACACAACCATGTCGTTCCAAACAGAAGACCAAATTCAGAGGCGTCCAAGACGAGCTCAAAATCTTCAGCTATGAAAGAGAAATCATAGTCTTCGTGATCAGAATAACCTCATCCCAGCAAAAATAAACTATATGGTAATATTATACACTCAAGAAGATGGTTTAGCAAAACGGAAATTAATGAAGTTAATCTTATTGCAGTAGTCATTATATTTCCTTTGCTAAACCATCTGAGAGCGCCAAATGCTTGGGAGTTCCTATTTGTTTGCTAGAAGAGGCAACAATTGAGATCTTTTCAAGCATCAAGAATGTAAACAATTGGCCTCTAATGAGTTAATAATTAGTTATCTATATATGTTCAAGACATCAATATTATATTGTTAAGTTGACAAACAGTTAATTTCAAAATATGAGTTTCTTATTTGAGTAAATATAGCTTTTTTGGTACCTTATTATACTGTTTTGAAGTGTGCATCTTTCTTCTTCATTTAATATTACAAATTATTAACTTAGAATTCTGTAACATAAAGTAACTAGAATCTTAAAGCTCATAAGCTTCAAATTCTAGTTCCGCCTAATGCTTTATTTTATCTCTGCAAATTTTACTCATCAACTTCTTTTTCTGATCTACCGCTGTTAGAGCATACTACAATATTTGTTCTTTTGGAATTAAGGGTGTGTTTGGTATGAAAGAAAAATATTTTTCTGAAAAATAAGTGGAAAGTGGATTTATACTTACTTTCTACTCTCTTCGTTTCACAAAGAATGACCTAGTTTGACTTGGCACGAAGTTTAAGAAAATAAAGAAGACTTTTAAATCTTGTGGTCCTAAATTAAAGTTATGTCAAATGTACAAAATTTCCCTTTAATCTTGTGGCCTTAAACATGTCACGTGGAAAGTTTAAATTAAAATATTACCAAAAAAAGAAATAGGTTGTTCTTTTTAAAACAGACTAAAAATGAAAGGAGGTCATTATTTTTTAAACAAATAGAGTAATATTTAGTAAGTAAACAAAAAAAAAAATAAACATCATGAAAGCAAGAGTACTATATATTATCAGTAAACACGATAGAGTGAGATAAGGTAGGGAGTGGGGTTCAGGGGTGACGAAGGTGAGATGGTCAAGGGGTATGGGTTGTGGGGATTGCGTGGAGAGGATATGAGATAATAAATTTGAAAAGTCATTTACTTTTTATTTTTTCATTAGAGAAGTCATTTTTCTCTTTTAAGAAACTTCTTTTTGTTTAGCAAATGTTTTCCCGGCATTTTGACCAACAAAATATACGAAAATTTGAAAATGAGTAAACAACTTGGAGAAAACGAAGAAAAGGTTTTTCAAATAATTTGATCAACCAAACATTTTCAAACAATTTCACTAGTAAGTAATGAAAGAAAGGAAAAAAGGCAATATTGAGAGCAAAGTAGGCAATAAAATTACTTGTTTATAATTAAAAGAGATGTATTTAAAGAACTCTAAAAGAGAATTACTAGTCTCTCCGTTCACTTTTACTTGTCACTTATTCCTAAAATAATTTTTTATTTTTATTTGTCACTTTTGAATTTTGACATATCAAGAAAAAACAATAATTTTTTTTTTCCATATTTTACCCTAACATTAAATACTTATTTTCCAAATCATTTTCAAAGACATCATTTAATAGGGGATAGTTTGGTAAATATCTATATCATTTAATATTTCTCAATAGGTGTGTGAAATCAAACTGTGACAAGTAAAAGTGAACGGTGGGATTAGTTTCATACCTGAATTATTAACAACCTTAAAAACACTCTTAACACTAAGGGGTCGTTTGGTAGAGTGTATTAGAAAAAATAATACATGCATTAGCCTTGTGTATTACTAGTATCTTGTTTCATACTCTTTTCCAACCTATGTATTACTAATGCTTGCATTAATTATACACTCTATTGTTTATTAAGGTGTGTATTGCTAATACCACATATTTCTAGGTATTAGCAATACAATGGTTTTAATGCATGCATTAGCTTGATTAAAGACCCAATTGCCCTTCAAAATCCCTTTTACATCTTTTCTACCATAATAGTGGAGGCTATCTTTGTAAATTAAATTTTTTATGCAATGCATGCTAATTTTTAATGCATAAAAATAAACTATGCATAACTAATACATGCATTACTAATGCAAACATTATTAATACACTCTATTTAGTATTATTCTTATACACTCTACCAAACGACCCCTAAATGAACTTAAATACATTTTTGATCTTGCAACTGTTCGTTCGATGACAAAACTAATAATTTGTGTGATTTTCAAATACTTTTCTCTAATTGATTATAACACTATAACTAGTTTGTCTATATATGTGAACATGAAAAAGCAGAGTCATGATTTTCCAGCGACACAAAGTCAACGATGAAGTGTTTTTTATGCACCGGTCAATGGAAGAAGACGTCACCGGAGATTGACCGGCGGCGACCAGTTGCTGCAGGTACCCATAAAGCTTTACTCATTAGAACTAATTTTTCAATTTGGCATTTAAATTTTCTAGGAATTCCAGAATATTGGAGAAAAAGAAGAAGAAAACGGTAGAATTTAAAGAGAATTTGGTGATTTCACTCATCATACTCCCAAAACACGTGATTTGTAATGATTTTTTTCCAATCTGCCCAAGCCTTTATGGGCAGAGTTATCCACCAACATGTGTTGGTGGGTAGTGGCCAAGATTTTTACTAGGAATCAAAACATAAAAGAAGCAATCATACGAAAAAAGTCCAAGGGGTTCCAACATCTATTTATATACAAAAACACATAAAGTTTTTTTTTTAACTTTGTATATATAATATAATTTTTCATCAAAGGGGCTCGGATGATCCCCTTGCTCCCACTTGGCTCCGCCCTTGCTGGTGGGAAGCAGTAGGTATTGTGTCGAATTAGTCTAGGTGCACAAGCTGACCCGGAAACATGGGGTTAGTTTCTAAGCACCTTTTTTATTCCTTTTTGAAGGCCTTAGCCTTAGTGTGCCCCTTCTGTTGCAATTCAATGGTAACCCCTCAATCAGCTATGCAATTAGCTCTTTTCACACTTAAAAACCGCCTTGATAACTAGTCTTTAAGTCCAAACTGTCGTAGGCAATCGGCTGTGTATCTTGCATCATCAGTGCACCAACTCACTTCCACAACAGATGTCTTAGTGACAGCCTATGTTGCATTAGCTGTCTCTTCATAACATCCCTTTATTGGAGGTTAGTGAGTGGTTTACTTATCAAACTATAGTTTCTTATAGACCTCCTAAAATAGATCGTTAACTCAAAAACTTGTTCAGATCAGTTGACTAAGGTCACTTAACTATTACTGCAATCTTACTTGGTTAGGCTAAGGCAACTTGATCATTATTGCAACCGTACTTGGTAACTGTTGACCCCGTGACTAGAGATGATATAATCCTAGATGAATTGAGGATTATCCAAAACTATATAAGGAGAATAGAGACCGTTCCTCAATTAAAGTGGGACACTTAACAAGGATAATACTTTCTTTGAGGAAGCTGATCTAATGTCCCTCAACTCTCTAAAAAATTGATGTTACTGTCATCGAATAAGGTGCTGCAACAAATTATCTCATTTCATGAAGTTAACTGATATGACCTCTCCTACAAACAATAGGAATAACAAAAAATTAAAAGATGAATCTTTGTGCCAGTTTCTTGATTTTTCGCTTGGTTTTAGTTCATCAGCTGGTTACTCTTGACATATTTGGAAACTTTCCACTTAGTTTTAGTTATATCTTGTAAATTGATGATGCACAATTTTGTCATCATGTTACAAAGCTGTTAATGATGAATTCCACTCACATTGCAGTCAAGATTTTTGAATTCGAGGAATTAGCAGCTGCAACAAGCAATTTTCATGAGGATTGTCTTCTTGGAGAGAGTGATTACGGAAGAGTTTACAAAGGACAGATCGATTCTAATCAGGTTAATGCTCCTATGGTTTTCTTATAATCAGATAGGACAGAGAGAGAAGTGGCAGGCTTTCTCAAAACTGTATGTCTGAGGCCTCATATTGTAGATATGGCGCAACACGTGTTCCTTCAACAATAGATTGAACCGAAGTAAATCAAATGTGTCAATGACCAGGATCATTTGATAAAATTAGCTAGTTCAGTATGACAATACGCTTGATTATATGCATTTGATATCCAAGTTGTGACAGAACTGTAGATTGAAACCTTCTATATGATTTGGTGCAGGTTGTTGCTATCCAGAAAGTGGATCATGATAGAAAAAGGAATTTTCTTGGTGAACTTTGTATGTTAAGTTGGTTACGCCATCCTAATATTGTTAGTCTAGCTGGCTATTGTGCTGATGGTGATCATAGACTTCTCGTTTATGAAAACGTTCAACTAGGATCATTGAAAGAGCATCTTCATGGTATTTGTTTTCGTAGTTGGTTATGCTTTTTGTTGTGTTTAGTTGTTTTCATATGATGTCTGGAGTTAAAGATTTTCTGCAGATTCCGCTCCTGATAAGAACCAACTTGATTGGAACACTAGGATGAAAATTGCTTCCGAAGCAGCAAAAGGATTAGAGTATTTACATGACAAACAACAGCCAACTGTAATACACCGCGGTATAAACTGCTCTAACATTTTGCTTGGGGAGGGATATCAAGCTAAGTTATCTGGCTTTGGCTTTGCAAAACTGGGGCCTCCAGACGGTAAAACCCATGTATCTGCAACATTTGAGGGAAATTATGGGCACCAAGCACCAGAGCATGCCACAACATGCGAGGTGAGTGTACAAACAGGGCTATTGAGTGTGAAATCAGATGTTTACAGCTTTGGGGTTGTCCTTTTGGAGATCTTTACAGGAAGGAAAGATATCGGAAATTCAAAAGATGGAGAAGAGTCCAATCTTATTGCTTGGGTAACTTTATGTTTTCCCTTTGTATGAATTTCGTTCAAGTTAGTATACTATCTGTGACGAAAATGCTGTGGTGTTCCTTTTGAATTTTTTTTGTATGTCAGGCAAGACCATTGATCAAAGATGACAAATTTTCAGAAATGGCAGATCCAGCACTTCAAGGCCATTATCCTGCAACAGGCTTGAAGCAAGCTGTTCTAATCGCAAACACGTGTGTCCAAAAGCAACCTCACGGGCGTCCTACCATGGCAGAGGTAGTAACATCCTTAACTTATATTGCTCAAGGAAAATATGATTCTGTAACTCTGTCCTGAATGGTGGCAACTGATAAGTGTTGCTGAAAATCAAATATTGAAGTGCTTGTGCATCTAAAATGCTTAGTTGTACTGGTGGAAGGTAATAGGTACCTAAGAAATTAATCGAGGAGCTGCCACGATTTTAAAAAAAATAAAGATAATAGGACAAGAATATCAATATGTACACAGAACCTTGAGTATGGTCATATATATGTCAAAATAAATAAAACTGACAATTCTGAGGCAAAACTTGAATTTTGCATTTACTAACCGTTGTTCTATTTACATCTTTTTGACTCCTTTTATTGCAAAAAATTCATGGCGTTTAGGTGATACCCAATTTATGTTTTTTTTTTGCATGAATACCCAATATTAGATTATTTTCAGGCCAAAGAATATGTTTCAACTTCAGGCGGGTTTTCCTATGGTAGTCGCGCTGTGGCCTCTGAACGATCGTCCCATCTCATCTTTATATGTGAAACAATCTCAAAAATCAACTCTTGATGTCAAGAGAGAATTATGAACTTTAATACTTCATTAAGTACTTAGCTTGATATACACACACAAAACAGAATTCTAATACATGAGATGCTACAACAGCTATTACTATGCTGATACAAGTCTCCCAGATAACAAACAAACATAGAACCACTTTATTTATGTATTACTAATGTATAATCCTTCAACTTCTTGACATGAACTGAGCATGAAGCACCCCTTATTCGTAATTTAACAACGTTGATGGATCGAGCATTTTATTCAGTTTTACGCCTGCAATGAACAGATGGAGAAAGAATTAGCATAGAATGCTCACACCAAGCAAAATTAACATATCAAGTTCTTTACATATGAGTAACTACCAAATATTTTTTCTTATATAAGTCCACCACTTCCTTAGGATCAGCTTTTGTCTGAATGTAGCTATCAAGCTTGTTCAGTTCCTGCAGGGTAATCGTACAACACAACGATTCGATCAATTAATCAGTCAACTATGCCTCAGTCCTAAACTAGTTCGGCTGTCATAAAGCCGCCAGGTACCTTCATGACACAATTTTAAGGCAAGTAAAGTTAGCATACCTCTATCCATTTTGCTAGTTTTGGCCTCCCAGATGTGATATCATAATCAAACACCTCTTTCAAGAAGATTTGATACCTTTCAACGAAGGGAGCATACACTATGTCGGCCTGATGCACCAAATTTCAACATCAATATGATGAACTTCTAAAATTCGGAAAGCTAAAGATACCTTCTTACACTTTACACATTGTACTAATATAACTGACCTGACTGAATTGGCCTAGGAAGAAAGGTCCGTCATCAAATTTGTCGAGAGCTTTTTCTAAGTAGTCAAATTGAGGTCCTGGTGCAAGTGTGAACTATTGTTAACATCTCGTGAGAAAATTACAAAATGAAGTTGAAAACACAAATGTTCAAGAATCTCACCAGCATGCTTCTCAATATCTCCTTTGAAGTTACCATATATTTCTTTCAGGAACGTATCGCTGTAAGCTATCAACTCTTCAGCAAACTTCTGTTTTTCAGGGTCCTAAACCATTTTACCAAATCACATCAAATTTAAAACTTTTGCTTCCTTTTCTTTTGTCAACGTTTTAGTGCCACGTCGGGAAGGAGGGGAGGGTTGAAAATAAGAATAGTCTGTTTAGGCCAAGAATGAGTTTTGCAGCTTACATCAGGTAGAAGAGACGGACCCTCAAAGTTGCTGTCGATATATTTAACCAGATCGAGACTTTCTCCAATCACTTTGTTTTTGTGTTCCAGAGAGGGCACCTACGGAAGAATAGAACAAAACACATAACCAAATCGAAGCAAAGGATATGCTCTTCATGTATCAGGTTCGCCAGAAAACTCGAATTTGAAGAAAAAAGATTACTTCTTTAAAAGTCGCAAGCACACTGCATCTTATTTTCGAGTTCTCTAGCATTTAAAAATTTGGCATCTATCATGACGCTCAGAGTCGGATTCAGGATTTTAAGTTTATGAGTTCACAACCACAACCATGGACATTTTTGCTTACTGCTTTCTGAATAGATCTTTCGTACATACTAAGTGAATTTCTTAACATAAACACAAAGTTTGAGCCAAAGCTACTGAGTTCTGTCGAACTTGTAACTTAAATGGTAGATCCACCCCTGACAACACTAGGCCAGTTTCACTTACTTTTCACAATAAGGCTTAAGGTATTCGCTTTGATATAACATTACAGCTAGTATAAAGTTCAGCTATGTATATATACTGGATCGATAGAAGATGAATTTTGTGCTTCAATAGAAAGTACCTTATTTTGAGGGTACACTTTTTCCTTGTACCAAACAGGCCTGTTCTGAAGATCAATTGGAACTAATTCGATCTTATCTTGCAAACCCTGCATTTGTCAATAACTTCAAAGTTTATTTTATGACACCATTATTCATCTACATAAACTAAAGATTCTAAGTAGTATACTCTACATCCAAAATAAAAATGAAAAATAAAACAAGAGTAATTATTATAATATTAACAACAACAAAAAATACGGAAATGAATTTGCAGTTGATTAAGGAACCTTGAAATTTCTGGTAATCCACGCACGCTGTGCAAAAGGGCATATATAACTGATATACAACCTTCAAAAAAAAAAAAGTTCAAAATCTATCAAATTATTTTTCCTTTGATTATAATTTCTCAAACTTCATTTAAATATTTTGAAATTTGAATCAGATTTGTACATAAGAGAAAGGATATTAACCTTGTAGTTCCATCAAACAGGGCTGGCGGTTCGGAAGTAGAATCAAGAGATGCAGGACGAATTTGTTGTACACTTCTGCAGAAAACCCCCATTAACATTCATTAAAAAATTAAAAGTGCAAAATCAAACTAATCAATATCACTCTAACCACTATGTGTTGGTTGATTTCTCGATAAACATTAAACTAATTGATATTATCTTGACCATGAATTACACTTGAAAAAAAAATCAGAAACAAAAGGAGGAAGGAAGCAAAGAAAAAGAAAAAAGAAAAAAAGGAGGAAGGTAGAGAGACTTACGGAGTAGCCATTAATGTTTGTTGGATTTACTACGAAAGATACAATTTTTGAGTTTTGATGAACAAATGGGATGGAAAATTGGATTTTTTATAGGGGATGGGGGTTTCGGTTATTCGGTGAGCACTGACCAAATTTAGTAAAGTGTGTCATCGCTGAGCGTTATACAAACGAAATGGAAATTGTACTCTTTTATGACTATTCAATTTGAACATTCTCCAAAAGTGTAGATATGTTCATCTAGCTTCCTCAAAAACCATCCGCATTCATAATTTCATTACTGTGCCCGAGAAATTAAGATTTCTTAACCACTTATAAAATAATAATTTTTTTAGTAATTTTAGATTTCTTACATATAATAATAAAAATATAGGATAAAAAGGCCATAAAAGAACTATAGAAATTTTTAAAAAATCCAATTTCCTTATGATAATCAAAAATGATAGGCATAATACATAAATATGTCATTTGACTTGTGCTCAGCTAATATTTAGACGTAATACATAAACATGACCTTAGTTGGCGTCAACGGATAGCTATGACTTTTAACTTTGAGTGTGTATAAGTAGACACTTAAACTTGTACAAAATTAAACAAATAGACGTATTTGTCCTGAATGACACCCTACATGACAATTTTACTGTCTTATGTGGCTTCCTACGTGTATTATGTCATATAGGAAACGTGTGTCTACTTATTCAATTTTATACAAGTTTAAGTACTTACTTGTGTACACTCAAAGTTGGAGGACATAGTTGTCTGCTGAAGCCAAGTCAAGGGTCATGTTTATGCATTATGCCTAGTATTTATGTCCTTAAACTTTAGATATGTATAAGTAGATACTTAAACTTATATAAAATTTAACAAATACAGACATGTGTCTTATGTGACATTATACATATAAAATGTCATGTAGGACGCAAATTGACCATTTGAGACGCTAGGTAGGATGCATGTGTTACTTATTTAATTTTATATAAATTTAAATGTCTATTTGTGTACATCTAAAATTAAAGGATATAGATACAAATTGAAGCCAAATTAAATGACACGTCTATCTAGTTTGACGATATGATATGAGTGCTTAATTTATACATTTATCCTTGACTACACAAAGTCATATGATATGAGTACTAAGGGGGCGTTTGTTAGACAAAGTTATATCGAAATTATAATGCACATATTAATTTTATAGAAACTAGTTATATATATAGATTAGTAATACAAAAAATATTTCTTGTTGGTGTTTAGGTCATTGCACTAAAATTAATATACACGATACCATTTAAAAATTAAAATAATTAGGAAATGCATAAGTACCTCCAATCTATGCCCGAAATCTCAGAGACACATTTATACTATATTAAGGTCCTATTACCCCCCAGAACTTATTTTATTCGGCCTACGTGGCACTATCTTCTGGGCCCAGCGTGTGTTGACAATTTTTTCAAGGATATTGTTGTCGTGTCGTAATTTAGCTATCTTTAGAAAAATCACTTTTTGAAATGTTCTAAGCATAAAACAATTTGAAAAATACTTAGAAAGAGTCGCCACTTAATTTTTTAAAGAAATTAAGAAAACTTGTAATTTTCAAAGATTTAAACAGAAAAAATCATTTGAAAATACCAAAGAGAGTTCGGGGTTCAATTTACACTTCGAGAAGGGTTTAAGCATTCGAAGTGTCTGCTAACATACGGTTGACCTGTGACTTGACCAAAACATGTTTTGACTAATTTTTAAGAAAATGATGATTTAGCGTAAAAATAATAACTTACAATATATTTGATTAACTTTGAGAAAATAACTAAATAAATGACACATTTTTTATTTTTTTATTATTTTTTATTTTTAGAGAAAAGGGACCCAAAAATGAAAATATTTGAATTAGATTGCAAGTGATTAGAATTCTATTATTATATAAGACGGAGTTTATGATGGGACATTGTGATGTCCAATCATAAACTCCCTATATAAT